TACTCTATATGATCTTAATTATTATGGTCTTCTAATTATGAATAGATATCTGATAAAGTGAGTCTTTCCACCTTATTCCTTTTCAAAAGGCTATTCTTGGTCTTTTGAATTTCCATGTAATTTTGAAATGTCTGTGTGTCAATTCCATATGCTTACTAAAAAGTTTGTTGAGGTTTTGATTAGAATTGTACTGAATCAATAAATCATTTTAGGGATAATTGACTTCTTTATGGTTTTGAGTCTTCTAGTCTATAAACATGATCTATCTCTGCATTTATGTTAGGTCTTCAGTGACTCAGTAAATTATAATTTACTTCATACAGAATTTATACATGTTTTGTTATATTTATACCTCAGTATTTGATATTTTTCATACTTCTCAAGTGATAATTATTTTTAAATTATATTTTGGAATTATATTTTGAATTATTCCTCTAGACTTGAAATAGAGTGGTTGCCTAGCATGCAGAACACCCTGGGTTTCATCTCCAGCACTGAAAAAATAAAAATTAAAAACTATATACACACACATATTTATATTTCTTATTTTTGTTGCCTTATATGTTGATTTTTGCAAATTTTTCTAATGACTTTATTAAACTCTAATAATTTGTTTGTAGATTCTTTAAAATTTTCTCTATGCTTTTGTTTTCCCAGTACTGAGGATTGAACCCAGGGTTTGCACATGCTAGGCAAGTGCTCTACCACTAAGCTACATCCCCAACCCTATGATATCATATTTTCTACACATGGTAACAGCTTTTACTTCTTTTTACAAAGTATTTTGTTCTGTGGGTACATCTTCTTGCTTTGGCTAGGATCCCAATTCTCCTAATGGAGACCTTTATTTTTCTTTCCACTTTCCCCTCTTCTTTTCCCATTTCTATTCCTTTCTCTTCTTTCTCACATCTGCTCCTTCTTTCTCTTTGTTCCTAAAAATCTTTTTTTTCCCAATTCATTTCCTTCCCTTTCTTTCTTCAAAATCTGTTTTTCTACTTACAAATTTTTTCTCATGTCCCCCTCTAATTCCTCTTTGTTATAGAACCATAAATCATCAAAGCCAGACTTGACTTTACATTTAATCTCTCATTTGGTCAATACATAAGAGGAAGTACCACAAGACGGCATAATTTGCTTTAGTGTCACAGCTAGTTTAAGGCAAATCAGTAGTAGGTCCTAGATAATCTATTTCTCCCTCCTCTTTTCTCTTTTCTTTCTTCTTCTTTTTTTCTTCTAAACACAGTGTTGGAATCAAATAAACATAAACTTGGATCTCAGTTCTACCACTTATACTGGCGACTTTTGACAAATAATTTAGGGCTGGGAATGTAGCTCAGTGGCAGAGCACTCAGGCTTAAGACCCTGGGTTCAATCCCCAAAAATAAATAATTAAAATTATATACAAAATCATATACAAGAAAATAAGTAAAGTTAAAAGCATTTTAACCTCTGTGATTATTAGTGTCTTCACATGTTAACTGAAATATTAATATGCACCTCAAAATGTTGCTGTAAAGACTGAATAAATAAGCCAGTCCCCAAAAACCAAAGGCTGAATGTTCTCTCTGATATGTGATGCTAACACACAATAAGGAAGGTGGGGAGAATAGAAGTTCATTGGATTAGACAAAGGGGAATAAAGGGAGGGGAGGGGGGATGAGGGGGTCGAGAATATGAAAGATGGTAGAATGCAATGGACATAACTTTCCTATGTTCATATATGAATGCACAACCAGCATAACTCCAAATCATGTACAAACACAATAGGAAATTATACTCCATGTGTGTATAATATGTCAAAATGCATTCTACTGTCATGTATAACTAAAAAGAACACATCAGAAAAAAGAATTAAATTTAATTTTTATTTTCTCGACCCCCTCATCCCCCCTCCCCTCCCTTTATTCCCCTTTGTCTAATCCAATGAACTTCTATTCTCCCCACCTTCCTTATTGATGTTAAAAAAAAAGACAATAAAAAGTGTATTGTAGGGCTGGGGTTGTGGCTCAGTGTAGAGCCCTTGCCTAGCATGTGTGAGACACTGGGTTTGATTCTTAGCACCACATATAAATAAATGAATAAAATGAAGGCCCATCAACAACTAAAAAAAAGTGTATTGTAAATAAAGCACCTGGCACATAATAGAACCAATATTTTTTTCATTCTTTTTTTTTTAAAACTGGGGATTGAATCCAGGTGTACTTTACCACTGAGCTATATCCCCAGCCCTTTTAATTTTGAGACAGGGTCTCACTAAATTGCTTAGAGCCTTGCCAGATTGTTGAGGCTGGCCTTGAATTTGTGATATTCCTGTTTCAGCCTCCCAAGTTGCTGGGATTACAGTCATGTACTACTGTGCCAGGTTTCCTCATTCTTTCTTCATGGTTTTCTCTTTCCCTCCTTTTAAAAAATGATAAGTTTGTGCTGGGCACAGTGGCACACACCTACAAACCTCTTCCAGTGTTTGGGAGGCTAAGACAGGAGGATCCCAAGTTCAAGTCCACCCTCAGCAACTTAGTGAGACCCTGTTTCAAAATAAAATATAAAAAGGGCTTGGCATATACCTCAGTGGTAAAGCATCCCTGGGTTCAATCCCCAGTACCCCCACAAAACAATAAAATTAATAAAATGGTAAGTTTGGACTCTCAGGTTCCTTCACATTTTGGCTATTATGCCTTTGATTCCTTCTCCTTGTTTTTGGTTTCATTCTCCCATTCACTTCTCTTCTTTCTTTATTTCTTTCCATTCATTGTTTCTGCTTATTTTCTTTCTTTCTTTTTTTTTTTTGGTATCAGGGATTGAATTCGGGGGCACTCCACCACTGAGCCATATCCCCAGCCCTATTTTGTATTTTATTTAAAGACAGGGTCTCACTGAGTTGCTTAGCACCTCTCTTTTGCCAAGGCTGGCTTTGAACTTGATATCCTCCTGCCTCAGCCTCCCCAGTGGCTGGAATTACAGGCCTGCGCAACCGCGCCCAGCTGTTTCTGTCTATTTTCTATTACAAGCCAAGAGATGTGGACAAAAACCTCTACTTAAAGTCTTTTCAGTCCTACCAGTATTTCAGTCTACTAGTATTATGATTTTCTCTTTTTCCACTTTCTCAACTTCACATCACTTACAAGTTAGTTAACTGCCCTGGGCCTCACTTTGTTTCTGTGGAAAATGGAGATAATTATTAGATTGTTATAAATATGAAATGAATTAAGTAAAGCTTTTAGTTCAGTGCTTAACAGAAAGGCGCTTCCAAGATGTTCAGTGCTTAACAGAAAGGCGCTGCCGGGATCACCAAGATGTCATTAACCTGGGAGCGGTGGGTGTAACTCAGTGGCAGAGTTCTTAGCACCCAAAAGGCCCTGGCTTTCATCTCTAGCACACTCTCTCTTCCCACTCCACCCCTCCCCCCCCCAAAAAAAATAAAAAACCCACACAGACTAGCATTAACTTTAATTTGTCCTTCTGCAAGCCTGGTATGAAATAGAAAACATTACAGAAGTGTTTTTGTGGTACTGGAGATAAGCCCATAGCTTCACACATGCCAGACAACTGCTATACTACTGAGCTACACCCCAGACCTGTTTTTTGTTTCCTAATTTATTTTTGTATTTGAGGATTGAGCTCAGGGGAGCTTTATCATTGAGCTACATATATCCCCAGTCCTTTTTTTAATGTAATTTTAAAAATATTTTTTAGTTGTAGTTGGACGGACACAATACCTTTATTTTATTTATTTTTATATGGTGCTGAGGATTCAACCCAGGGCCACGCTCATCCTAGGCGAGCACTCTACTTTGAGCCACAACACTGGCCCCTCTCCAGTCCTTTTTAATTTTGAGTCAGGAGTTTACTAAATTCCTGAGGGTTATTCACCAAGTTCGTAAGCTGGCCTGGGATATTCCATACTCATGAGTCTCTGGGATTACAAGCCTGCATCACCGCGCCTGGCTGTTAGATTTTTAAAAATATTACTGGGCTGGAGGTGTAACTCAGTAGTAGAAATGTTGCCTGGCATGAATGAAGCCCTGGGTTTCCTTCCCTGCACCACAAAACAAAGACAAAAATAAAGTATGGTGAAGCAGATGGGAAAAACCTCGGTTCCAGGTGAATCCCTGGATTTTTGTAAACTCCAATTTCTAATTTTTCCCCCTCCCCCAGAAACTAGAACCAAGGTACCATCAGGGTGATGGTGCATGCATGTAAACCCAGTGACTCCAGAGAGTGAGGCAGAAGGATCTCAAGTTCAAAGCCAGCCTCAGCAACTTAAGCACTCAATAACTTAGTGAGACCCTGCCTCAAAATTAAGAATAAAACAAAAAGCACCGTGGATGTAGCTCACTGCTAAGGCACCCCTGGGTTCAATCCCCAGGCAGGGTGGGGGCTACCTACTAAAATCATCATTTAATAAGCACAGTTGTAACCACGAGGTTTCCTGAAGTCATACTGGGGAGGCGATATAGTTGTGAGGATTGAACGGATAAAATTCTCAATGTCTAACCAAGAGTAAGCATGATAGCTGTTTCTGTTTTACTTTTTAACTTATTTTCTCCTTCTCCTCAAAAGGTGAGTGGTTTAACTACCCAGATGATCTTAGCCGCCGCTAATTTGTATTACTGATTATGGTTTCTTCCTCTAGCACGTCTCTTCCCCCTTTTTTCCTGCTTCCTCACTCCTTCCACTATAGCTTTCCTCTCCTCCCAAGAACCGCCAGCTGCCGGGATCGCCACATGACTGGTAAGAGTTGACAGTGAGGCAGCCACTCGCACCGCAGGGTTCCTCGGTGACTCTCGCTCTTCCCCCAATAAAGTTTTATTGTAACATAGCTCGGGGTGGGTGGGGGGGACGGCACTCGTCATTCTTCTCCAGCAACCAATCAAGAGAATAGAATGCTCCCATCCCTCCCCAGAGCATCGGCGGTCCGAAGGCGGAAGTGGGTTATGTTCCTCCCGGAACTACGTAGTAAAAGCGGAAGCACTACCGGAACCCGGCCATAGAAATGAGTAGCTAGAGCGACCCTGAGGGGGCGGGTGGCAGGAAAAGCTCGGAACAGCTGCCGGAGGTGACGGAGCAGAAGGCCCATCCGGTGCGCTGGAAGACGAACCTTCCAGGTAGCGGTCCGCAGTCTGGCCCAGGGTTCGGCTGGGGCAGTCGGCGGGTCCCACAGTCCCAGGGCTGCCTCTTTAAGGGAGGAGGTGGAGCCACGTGTAAGGATAGTGCTGGTAAGGTCACGTGGTTAGGGCACGTGTAGGGCACGCGTGGAGAGCTGAGAGTGCTTCGTGGTTGGGATGGACACTGTGTGAGACCCCTTACCTGGCTGCAGCCTGTACCTTGATGTTCAGTGGGGTGCACGTGATGGGGCTTGGGATTAGGTTTAGAGGCCGTTAATGGAGGGTGGGCGTGGCAGCCGTGAATTGACTAAGATTTTTAGATCCTGAGTAGATCGTTCCAACTCTTAGTCCTCACTTCAGTAGTAATTTAGCCCCTCTACAATCCGGCTCCTTACCCTTGGGCTTCCTATCCTGCCAGTGTTTAGGGACCTCTAGCTTCACATCCTCTTTCCTTACAGCTCCAGACAACCTGAGCCCAAGGTTCCCACAGCTCAGTACAGCCATGAGTGCGGAGGTGAAAGTGACAGGGCAGAACCAGGAGCAATTTCTGCTCCTGGCCAAGTCGGCCAAAGGGGCAGCGCTGGCCACACTCATCCACCAGGTGCTGGAGGCCCCTGGTGTCTACGTGTTTGGGGAACTGCTGGATATGCCCAATGTTAGAGAGGTGGGTTGCTGGCTTGGGTAACCCACAGGGAAGCTTGGGACAAAAATTTTGACTTAAGAGTGGGCAACCCTGGCACCATTTAGTTGAACAAGGATACTGTGGTGATTAATGGCAGCTTGCAAAAATAAACAATCAGGTAAAGCTCTTTTTCCCTTTGGAGATGAGGAATCTGAAAAATGTAATATTTTTCATTTTTAACAAAGGACCATGTTATCATCCTAGCTTCTGAGGGGCTGAGGCAAGAAGATGATGGTCTTAAGTTTGAGGCCAGCCTGGCCAATTTAGTGAGACTATCACAAAATAAAAATGGCTGGGTCTATAGCTTTAGTGAATGGTAGAGCACCCTTGGTTTCAATTCCCAGTACTGCCCTCACTCAAATGGAAATAACACTATACTTAACCATTATTGTGGGAATCATATAAAATCATGAGAAAGTGTAAAGTTTGGTACAGATGGAAGGATTGAATAGGCCAAATTGACATGCCCTGTTCTCTCCCTCAGTGTAGTGTATGTTAATTCATTTAAAGTAGGCAAAGGAGAAAGAACACAGCAGAGAGAACCATTCACATAGAAGTGGCAAAGTGTAAAGAGTTTCAAGTCAATAGTGGATGGGTCATGAAGACTTGTGGCATCAGCCCATGTCCTATGATAGTGATATGTGGGTAAGTGGTGAGCCAAGTTTTTGAGGACCTATGGTTGAATCAATGGATTTAGCCTTTTTCTTTTTTTAATTGTAGATGAACACAATATCTTTGTTTTATTTATTTATGTTTTTAATGTGGTGCTGAGGATCGAACCCAGTGCTTCACCCATGCGAGTGTGGCAAGTGCTCAACCACTGAGCTACAACCCCAGCCTGGATTTAGCCTTTTTTGATCACTGTGGTATGGGGAAAACTGTGGTTATCTTTATACCCTGCTTTCATATTCAGTGGAACAAAAGCATATCAATCAAGGTAAAGAAAAAGAAGCACTGTTCTTTTTTCAAAATTTAATTTATTTAATTGTTGATTATAGACCTTTATTTATTTTTTAAAATTTATTCACATGCAGTGCTGAGAATCGAACCCAGTGCCTCACATGCCAGGCGAGTGTGCTACCACTGAGCCACCACCCCAGCCCCAAGAAGCACTTTTTAATTGAGTACCTGTTTAATAATCTGCCAATGATCTGGGAATACCAAAAAAGTACATGACCCAAGGCTTACCCTTTCAAAGCTTATATTTCAATTGAAAAGATAAGATGGATGGATATAAATCTGTAAATCCTTACTTAGCAAATATTTATTGAGGGAGTCAGTAACATGAATAGCTCTGCTAAATGCTAGTGGGATACCAGAGACTGGGTCTATAATCTTTTTTTTTTTTTTTTTGCAGAGGGGTACTGGGGATTGAACTCAGGGGTACTCAACCACTAAGCTACATCCCTAGCCCTATTTTTTTGTATTTTATTTAGAGACAGGGTCTACACTGAGTTGTTTAGTGCCTCACTTTTTGCTGAGGCTGGCTTTGAACTCAAAATCCTCCTGTCTCAGCCTCTCATGCCGCTGGGATTACAGGTGTACGCCACCATACCCGGTAGATCTATAATCTTGATGAAAGGAAAGATATTCTTAAAGTAAGAACCTTCTGCAGGAATTAATTAAGTGCCAGAATAAATGATCAGTGATAGGAGGAGAGGATCCTTCTGGTGAGCTGGATCCATGAGATGGGTCTGAAGCACAGGCCACAAATATAGGTGTCTGTCTAGGCTGAGTCAGGAGCCTGGTGAATTGGGAGTACCACAGACTGCCTAAAGATACTTAAATTCAGAAATATTGCATATACTCTGATGGCCAAACAACACAATTTACAGTGCCTGATGTGTGTGTGGTCTGTTAAATTCCAAACTGAACGTTTTCAACACTGAATATAAGGTAGGAATTGGATGGTGGATGGAGGAAGAGAACATTGCTATAATAAAGACCTGGAAGTGGAAGTTAGCCCTTCCTGTAGGAAGATTAATCATTGAGAGGCAGAGAATGCCTCTTGGTGAATTAACATTGATTGAAAAAAATGTGGCCAGAAAATGGAGTTCAAAAATGATAAGGTTGGGAGGGTAATGAGGGAGGCCCTTCTGTCACCTCTTCTCTTCCTTCATATTCTTGCAGCTGGCTGAAAGTGACTTTGCTTCCACATTCCGGCTGCTCACAGTGTTTGCTTATGGAACATATGCCGACTACTTAGGTAACCAAGAGGGATTGGAGCTCTGGAGCAATGAAAATGGGAGAAGGGCAGTTTCTGGAGGGACTTAGAACTTCATAGGATGCTGCACTTAGATCCCCTGGGCATAAAGGTTTGGAGTCATAGCCTAAGCTGGCATGGAAAACGGGGGAAAAATGCAGGAGAAGGGGAGAAGGCCAAAGTTTCCCACAAAACTGAAAGTAGGAATCCATACAACTTTGTCCTTTTTCCCTAGCTGAAGCCAGGAATCTTCCTCCACTCACTGAAGCTCAGAAGAATAAACTTCGACACCTCTCAGTTGTCACCCTGGCTGCTAAAGTCAAGGTGAGTGACAGTCCCCCCAGTCCAAAGCCAGCGAGGTCTAGAGCATCTTTTATGTCCCACCGGGATAGCCCTTGACCAGACTTGCTTTTTCTTGCCCTTCCCTTCCCCTCTGCCAAGGTCTATATCTAAACTTCAATCAACTGAAGTTCTAAGTAAAACATCTTTTGTATTTTTGATTAAAATAGTAATAACTAAGATGCCAATCATGTGTCAGTGAACAAGTGCTTTCCTAACCACTATGTAATTGTTTCATGCCAGCAAAGTCTGATAGCTGGAAGTGGGGCTCTCTTCTAATGAAATTCTGGGCTTCTAGTGTTAGAATAAGCAATATGTAACCAAAAAATATATCTATATTCCTCTTGGGCTGTTTTTGTTAAATATCACCCCTTAACTCCCAATTGTTATTAGACCATTAAGTTGTTTCCTGGTTTTACTGAAAACAGGCTCTTTTGGATGCCTGAAAAGCAGACGGAATATAAATGATAAACAGAATCACTACAGACCTCACCCAGTATCACATACTTGCATCATGACAGGCTGATCTTGGCCAAGGGCTGTGGCATGTCCTGAGCTATGACCAAAGAATGACACCCATTCAGAAGTCACTTTCTCCCTGTGTGGTGTGGGGGATAAAGGTCTTGGGGGAGCATCAGTCTGGTAATTTATTTAAGCCATCCTTCTCATGATGCTGTTTTGAGGTGGGGGGACTTTTATTTAATTTGTTTCAGAACCAGCCTTTTAGAGGAAAGGATTTAGGAATAAGAGTGAAGAGCAGATGGGCCTGGGCAGGGGAAAATAAGAGAAGATTATTTTTGAAAGCCCTTCTCTGCTGAGGAACTTAACAAATTCTGTTCTGACCACCCCGCTCCTACCCTTGGCTCCAGTGCATCCCATATGCAGTGTTGCTAGAAGCCCTTGCTCTGCGTAATGTGCGGCAGCTAGAAGACCTGGTGATTGAGGCTGTATATGCTGATGTGCTTCGCGGCTCACTGGATCAACGCAATCAGCGTCTAGAGGTTGACTACAGCATTGGACGGGACATCCAGCGCCAAGACCTTAGTGCCATTGCCCGAACCCTGCAGGAGTGGTGAGATCTGTATCCTGGTCCTGTCCCTTTTTTTTTCTCACTCCAAGAAAGGAAGCAGTGCTTCAAGATGGGAGAGGGTAGGACCTGGGCTGGGCTGTAGAAGTGGAACCTGAGAGGAGGGAGGGAAAGGAGCTCATTCCCCTACAGACTTCTGAAGGAAGGTGTAGAGGGGATCCTGAGAGTAGTAGTTGGGGAAGTCAGGGGGGAGGGAGTGTCTCACTCTTGAGGGATCTTAACTGAGAAGTGAGTCTGATGGTAGCCCTCATCTGAGGCCTCTCATCTCCCCTAACCCCTGCAGGTGTGTGGGCTGTGAAGTTGTGCTGTCAGGTATCGAGGAGCAAGTGAGCCGTGCCAACCAGCACAAGGAGCAGCAGCTGGGCCTAAAGCAGCAGATTGAAAGTGAGGTGAGCAGGCAGGAGCAGGATGGATGCAGGCTTCCCCAGTCTGGGCACCTGGCCTGTGCAAGTGCTTTGGACATGGCTGTAGCAGGCAGACAAGATAAGTAGGGGCTGTCAGGTTTTGGAACCTTTTTGCTGTCCCCTTCTTTTCATCTTGATAGGTTGCCAACCTTAAAAAAACCATTAAAGTTACAACAGCAGCAGCTGCTGCAGCCACATCTCAGGACCCCGAGCAACACCTGACTGAACTGAGGGACCCAGCTCCAGGCACCAACCAGCGCCAGCCCAGCAAGAAGGCCTCAAAAGGGAAGGGGTAAGCCAGTGTGGTAGTGGCCCACTTTTACCTGAAGGACCTGGCTGCTGCACTTACTTTAGTCATTTGTGTGGGATGGGGATTTGGGGGAACCTCCAGGGATTAGGGAGATCCCCTGCATCCTCTCTCTTTCTCTCTCTCTCTCCTCCCTTGCCAGGCTCCGAGGGAGTGCCAAGATTTGGTCCAAGTCGAACTGAAGGGATTCATTATTTCTTTCCTGGGGAGATGGGGCCCCAGCTGCCTGCCTACCTGCCCCTTAGGAATCCTCAGAGAGCCTTCCTGTGCCCCTGGCCAGCTGATAATCCTAGTTCATGACCTTTCACCTCCTGCACCCCAAAGCATAGATTACATCTTTTCTAGGGAAGAAGCCAGTACAGGTCATGTTTTTATTGGTACTTTTTGCTCTACATGATTTTCCCATGTGTTTCATTGTTCCTTCTCCCTGTCATGCTCTCCTCTCTATTTCTTTAATAATTCAGCATCTGTCCCTGTTTATTACTTCTGTCATTGAGTAGGTGGGTAGTCCTGAAGGTCGCTCAGTCTCCAGCATAAGCCTCGGGTGTTCCTTCTACCACCCTTTCCCTGCATGTCAAATACCTGATTCCTACTCCCTACCCGTGCCTATTGGCTAGCATCTGAAGAGTGAGGGCCCTACCAGAATTCTTACCGTGAGAATTCTGGGAGCCAGTCTGCCATTCTGGGAGTGACTGGACACTTTCATTCTAGAGTCCCAGCACACTACAGTTTCCTTTCCCCCATCTTCCCCTTGGATCCTGGGAATGCTGCTGCTTCAATGATTCTAGAGCCTAAGAAGGACAGCTGTTGAGATGTTGAGAAATGGTTCTTTCTTGGCTCTGACCATCTTGGGAAGCCCAATGGCAATCCTGGAAAGATTTATATCTCCTTTTGGAGTTTGGTGGGGAAGGGAATATAGATTGTATTAAAAAAAAAAAAGTATATATGCATATATCTATCTATAACAGAACAGAAATAAATATAAGAAGTCTATCTACAAACATGCCCAGAACTCAATATCTTCTGTTATTGATATTTGTGGATGGGAATGAGACTCATTCCTAGTCTACTCTAAAGCAGAATACTAGAAAATAAAGAGAACCAGATACTATTTGCATAGTCCTAGCCCCACAGCTAAGACACCTAGCTCTTGGGCTTTCACTTTGGATAAGTTACTCCATGTCTCAGCATGTGTTCAGAAGTAATGAATACTTAGTACCAACACATGATAGATACCAGAGATGCAAACTGACCATTGCTGTCCTTGTTCTCAAGAAGCTTCACTTCATCTTGTTTCTTTCCACCTCAGATTTTTTTTTTTTTTTTTTTTTTGGTGCTGAGGATTGAACCCAGGGCCTTGAGCGTGTGAAGCAAGCGCTCTACCAACTGAGGTATATCCCCAGCCCCACCTCATAGAATTATAAGGGAAAGAGTTGATAGTGCTCTTGAATCTTTGCATTAAAACCAGATAAAAGTACCATGTCTGTTGGACTACTGCCCTCTGTCCAACTTAGCACTTCCCAAGAAGTATGCTGGGAGGATTGGACTCCTCCTGCTATGTGTTCTCTAGAATTAGGAAGCTCTAGTCTGAGGGACAGTTGAGCCCCCACATGCAAAATGCTTTGTTGTATCTCATGACTTAACACTCAAGGTCACTCCAGGTGAACTGGGTTGCACGAAATAATCACACAGAGACAGAGAAAATACCTTTTTCTTTGGGTCCTGTGACAGCTCTGACCTTAGGGGTCCGTGGGAAAAGAGAGGAGCACATGCTGAGCACATGCTGAACCCTTTTATGGGGAAGAGGCCATTTAAATGAGGCAAGGGATAGGATTACAAGGGAACAGGTGAGTGTAGCTCAATCCCTCTGGGTGCCACCTACTCCTAGGGCCACTCCCAGGACCATACCTGTGATCTTTTAGATTCCCTTGGTGTATCAAGACTTAAAGGTGCATGCATTTGGAGTGGCTCACCACAGTGCTTGACTTCTGCAAGTCCAAGTGGTCTTAATGTTGACTGAGCTGCTTGCCAAAGTTAGTGCTATTCTCTGGAGATTTAGGAGAGAGCATTCTTTATGGGTTCTAAAGCTTTTGTAAGTCATGGAACCAGAAAATGGGAGTGGAATTCTGATTTTTTGATTAAGGTGGACAAGATAAACTTAAGCCTTGAGGGGGCAATGGAGACTTAACAAAACCTATCCAGTGAGCCCCATTTTAGGAGCTTACATTTGTGGCTTCTCAGCTTTGCTATAGACAAACTTGTTGAGCTTGTTACCCCTGAAATAAACTCCTTCCTCCCAGGCCCTCCATTGTGTAGAAGTTGATAGTTTTTGGTGCTTATTTAAACTTGTCCCCAACTACCACCCAAGCCCCAGTTTTTCCTTTGGAACTTACTATCTCCTTTCCCCCAGAGGCTACTCCCAGTTAATAGCTGCTTAAACTTCCCACTCCTAGAAATTTCTAGTTCCACACTTCAGTGAATGTCTTTTAAAGTCCAATGTAGCGTGGGCCTCGACTGCCCAGCTTCACATCAAAAGAGGGAGAGAGAACCATTCACATCTCTAGGGACAGGTAAATATAATTTGTTTTTTATTTACAGAGATAGAGCTCTTGGTTACCAAGGCATGGGGAAAGGGCAGCACATTCTTTGGGAAGTAATGAGGGCTCAGTTTTGACCATGAAATTTGGCTCAAGATTTTGGGAATCGATGTGTAACCAAGATAATGTTTTTTGAGATTGGATCTCACTAAATTGCTTAGGGCCTTGCTGAATTGCTGAGGCTGGCCTCAAACATGCACTCCTCTTGTGTCAGCTAGGATTATAGGCATGCATCACTGCACTGGGCTCTTCCTAAGAATTTTATCACTCACTTGCACGCTCATACATGCTGATCCCTACTGCTTAGCAATCTTAGATGATTTTAGGACTGGATGCCATGTTAATAGTAGGAAGAATCAGGCACAGTCGCACACTTCTGTAATCCTGGCAGTTTGGAAGGTGAGCAGAAGAATTATATTTGAGGTTAGCCTCAGCTACTTAACAAAACTCTGTGTCAAAATGTAAAAAAAATTAAAGGAGTTGAGGATATAACTCAGTTGTAGAGGGCTTGTCTGGTAAGTGTGAGGCCCTGAATTCCATCCCCAGTACAGCAAACAAAACAAAAAAACATTAAAATCTCTGGAGCTAAAAATGACAATTAGATGGGCACACACCTTTATGCACAAAAATGGTAAAATGTGTACTGTCAGTATTTTTTTTTTTTTAGAACAATTTTTTATTCAATGATAGTCCATCTTTAGATGTTTCTTTTTCATATACACTTCATTTGTTTTATTAAAAAGTAAAGCCCTAAAAAGGGAGACCAGTTAGTCCTCAGACTCTAATCCATCTTCATCTTGACTAATCTGGAAATAACAAAGTTCGTAAGTCTCTTTGTCAAATTGCAGCCACACGAAGCCAATCACGAAGATGATTATTCTTAAGGTATTTCTTAGTAAGATATTTCAAATACCTCTTAGAGAACTGTTTCTCAGAAACAACTGAGATTTTATTCTTTTTTTTTTTTTTTTTGGAACTGGGGGTCGAACCCAGGGCTTTGCTAATGCTGAGATTTTATTTTATTTATTTTTTTTTTTTAGAGAGAGAGAGAAGGAGTGAGAGATAATTTTTTGATATTTATTTTTTAGTTTTCGGCGGGCACAACATCTTTGTATGTGGTGCTGAGGATCGAACCCGGGCCGCACGCATGCCAGGCGAGCGCGCTACCGCTTGAGCCACATCCCCAGTCCCGAGATTTTATTCTTGAAGCGTTCAATGTGAATAACATTCCCGGGATTTCCAGTTTTCCCATTGACTTTAACCTTCTCCCTCAGAAACTGTTAAAAATATCCAGAATCAAAAATCCCATCTTTTACAGGATGAGTAAGGTCCATATTAAACTTCCAAGTAGTCCTCTTAGGCTTCTTGTCTTCCTGCAGCACCATCTTGACAGCTGGCCGCATGATCAGAGAGCGTTAGAGATTAGAAATTCCTCACTTAGATAGGCATGGCAATGTATACCTATAACCCCAGCTGCTTAGAACACTGAGGCAGGAGGATTGTGAGTCCAAGGCCAGTCTGGACAATGTGACAAGTCCCTGTCTCAAAAAAAAAAAAAGAGCTGGAGCTCAGTGGCAGAGCACTTGCTTACCATATGTGAGGCACTGGGTTTGATCCTTAGCACCACATACAAAAATAAGCAAATAAAATAAAGTCATGCTGTCCATCTACAACTACAAAAAAAGAAGAAGAAGAAGAAAAAAGTTCCCAGTTTAGATGACTCTTCCAACAGGGATAGATTTGAACAGAGTTTACAAGGGCATCTAAGTAGTATATTAGTTATCCATTGCTGTGCAACAAATGACAGTAAAATTAAATGGCTTAAAACATCTCAGCCAGATGTGGTGGCACACACCTATAATCCCAGTGGCTGGGGAGGCTGAGGCTAAAGGATTGCATGTTCAAAGCCAGACTCAGCAATTAAGCAAGGCCCTAAGCAACTTGTCTCAAAAAATAGAAATGGCTGGGGATGTGGCGTAGTGTTCAAGTATTCCTGAGTTTAGTCCCTGGTACCAATAACAACAACAACAAAACCCCCAAATTATCTCAGTTTTTATGCGGAGAGAATCTGAGTTGCACTATTTTCTGCCTCAGTGTGTCTCCCAAGGCTATATTCAAGGTGTTAGCTAAGGCCATAATCCTCTCTAGGTTCAGTGGTCATCAGTAAAAATCACTTCTTCGTGGGTGATTGGACTGAAGACCTTATCAGAAGACTAAGGATTGGCCAGAAGTTGCCCAGAAGACAACACTAGCAAGCTGAAGTCACAGTCTTTTGTGACAATCACAGAAGTGACATCCAGTCGCTTTTTACTCAGTAGGCCAGCCTGTACTCAAGGAACATAGATTAGACAGGGTATGACTGTCAGAAGGCAGAGATCATTGAGAGCCATGTTAGAAGTTGTCTGCCACAGGCAGTGTTTCTGTGGACCACCAGCATCAAAATCATTATGGGAGCTTTTGAAAGTAAGCCTTGCAGCCAGTCCTACCCTAGTTCCTGTCAAATTAGAATCTCTAGGATGTGAAAGGGAAATGTGCCTTTATACCCTCATTGACTCTGTCAGGTAGTGTCAACATGGATCAAATGAACGGTTTCTACTGCAGGTCCTGGATGAACAGGTAAGAGCCTAGGTCACCATCTGGGAAGAAAGAATGAGCAAAGATAAAATTTTGAGTACAGGGTGTAAGACACCACACCGCACTATGAATGGAAGACACCACACGACACAAATCACCGGAGAGGTTCCGCTTTATTACAAAAGGCTGTGGGCTTATATAGATCTAAGGGGAGGTGGCAGGGCTTAGGTAAGTGATGGGTCACCCATTTATTGGCAAGTTCTTCCAGATGTCAGTTCTGGAGCCCAAGAAGTTATTTCTTATTGGGGCTAATGTTTCCCACCCGCGGGATTTGAATAATGGCGCCGGCGGGAAATTTTCACGCCAGTGAAAAGAAGGGAAAGTAGGAAGAGAAAGTCGTTAGGCGCCATGTTGAGGTTTTCTTTGGGGTGCGGCTGCCGTTTATACTGTTCCCAACACAGGGTAAGAAAGCATGACTTATTCTGCCCTTCAAGGTTTTTAAGTGCATGGTTACAAATTATCTGTTTAGTAGGTGTTAAAAAGTATTGAGTAAGTTGAAAGTGGTTAACAGGGACCTATATCTTGCCTGGGGTCAGAAAAAGACATGACCTTTAAACTGAAATTAGAAGCCAAGTAGTAGTTAGCCTGATGAAGAGAAGGGAGGATGCATCTTAATTGGGAAGAATGTCAGACTTTAACCTGTATCCCTCATAGGAAATGCATAACTTTTGTGATGCATCGGCATATATGGTCCTATACTTACTATTTATTTTCATTGAATTGGTAAATATATGTTGGCTGAAAAATCTGAAATATATCAGCCATGAAGTTTTTGTTATAT